TCAGAAGACCCCCAGAGGGGTTCTGATCGGAAGCCAATCAGAAGACCCCCAGAGGGGTTCTGCCATCAGAAGACCCCAGAGGGGTTCTGCCATCAGAAGACCCCCAGAGGGGTTCTGCCATCAGAAGACCCCAGAGGGGTTCTGCCATCAGAAGACCCCCAGAGGGGTTCTGCCATCAGAAGACCCCCGAGGGGTTCTGTCACGAGGCCACCAGAACACCAACGAGGTGTTCTGATCTGTAGGCTTCTGTCCGAGCACTTCTGCCGCTGGGAAACAATTAAACGTCTCGGGAAGAAAACAAAAATTAATCGTATCTCTTGAGAGATAGATTTTTGGACGACATTCGTGTCCGCAGGTCGCCCGCGCACGCAAGTCGCGGTTTTTCTTCTCCGAATTCGGGATTTGATTTGCACCCCCCCCCCCCCCCCCGCGCGCGTGGAGAGAGCCTTTACCCTTAGGAATCTTAACTCCTTAAGGGGGGACCGGGGGAGTCCCTTTATAAGGGGTTGCAAATCCCTTGGGTTTTCCGGTGTGGGAAATTAACACACTAGAAACCCATCCTTTTTCCCTTCTAACGGGTAAACTTCGAAAAGCGATTTCTCATTCACCCGTTATCCGTTTTGAGCGTACCATATATCGAATTGTAGCCCTTAACAAGGACAATCCGAAACCACTTTGACCCGACCCAAATCGGAAGTGGACCCCACTCAACAAATTGCCCCAAAATAGCCATTTAATGCAATTTTTCACACATTTTTCCAACAACAGCTTCTGCTTAAATTAATCACTTAAAAGCTAAAAGCTGGAAGCAGATAGAAAGGTGCTTTAAACTACTTCTCACTTTTTCTATTACACAAAAAGTACTTATTTTACCAAACACTACCAACTTTTACTTTTCCAGAATCACTTTTTTCTCAAACACTACCAACTTTTACTATTAATCACTTTTCCAAAATTCACTTTAAAAATCACTTTTTTAAAGTTGAAGCAATTGCAAACACTCCCTTAGTTGTTTTTCCATATAATTTTTTTTTTTATTAATAAGATATATCGTAAATGTATTTTTTCATAAATTAGCTGAACATGTTAGTTGTTTTTTCATATGCTACCTCCGTCCAGAAAAAGTTCATCATATTGACTTTTCTTAGTCAATGATGTCAAACTTTGGACAATGATTTTAACACATAACAAATCCAAATTGAATCAAATTAAATCAAACCGAGCCATAATACTACACATGATTTTTATTGGGCGGCAGCACAACCGCATCAGGCCGCTATACTGGTGTGTTTGCGAATCACGAAGGAAATTCGCGTCAAAAGCAACAACGCCACATGCATCCGGCCGCAACTAATACTGATGTGTTTTTTAGATCATTGGAGTGTTTAATTTATTGGGTTTCCTGGAATCATTTTAAGGGAAATTGTCCTAAATAAGAGTAAATGAGGTTTGGAATTCCAAAATAGGATTACTATGTTTTTATTCCCGAAATAGAAGTTGTACTGCCATGTATGAAAACTACTATCATGATTGGAAAATAGTGTATTTAACAAAATATATTGGCATGTTAAATGCATTGTATTGCAACTATTTGACAATCACGCCTACAAGATGACATTAAATACTGTCATGTTAGTCTTATTTCAGAAATAAAAACATAGTAGTTCTATTTTTAAATTTCAAACTTCATTTCCCCATACTTTGGGAAATCTCCCTATTTATAAAGCAATTAATTTGTATTTTATTGTATTTATTTTTAATGGATATCTTGCTTTGTTATTCATGGCAACTTTACAATTGTGTAATACTTCCCCGTTCTTAAATAAGTGTCAAATTCCACTTTTAATTTTTCTAAATGCAGAATATTTATCATTAATATATACTCCATCCGTTCCTAAATTATCTTTCAAAACGGGTTTTGCATGGGGATTAAAAAGTGAAAATTGTGTGGTCGAGAGTTGTATCGAAGAGAGAAATGTGTGAGAGTGTTTAAAAATATCGTGAATCATAAATTCTTTGTCAAAAAGAAAAAAAGATTATTTTAGGACGGACGAAAGAGAATTTTGAATAAATTTAATTTCTATCTAACCAATCACTTTAATTTGTTATACCCGGCCCCCCTCAAATATTAAGGATGTTTTCTTTTGGACTGTTTTCAGTCCCAGACTAGATCAGACCGGACCAGATCAGACCAGACTAGACTTCCAGCGTTATAAAATACACAGAGACCAGACGTTTACCAGACCAGTTCAGACCAGACCAGACCAAATCAGATCAGACCAGACCAGCAAATTCCAGTCCAAAAGAAAACATGCTAACTCGGTATAAAAAAGCACTTGAAATCAAAGATACTCTCAAATTAATTTGCCATACACGGTCTTAGACTCTAAGTAACCAAAAGAGTAAATTTAATAGGCGAAATTGATAAGATTAATCCCTACTTTTACCAATTAAACAAAAATAATCCCTACTTTAAACTTTTACACTAATAATTCAAACTTAAAATCTGGGTCACAAAAATATAATGAAGGGGACAGAGACGCCTTTTAAACCAACGCCGTTAAACTCATTATCTCTTCCCTCTCTCTTGCCTCTGCTTTGTATTTTTTAACCATACCATCTGAACCAGGGCTCCGGTAACAAGAGAAGAAGCCAAGAGTAGTCCGGATTAGGCTTTCGTCCCCAAACCATTACTCCATCGTCAAATGGCATATCTTGAGGACATAAAGCAATTGAAGTGGACACTTGAGCGGAAGAAACTGATGCGAAAGGATTTAAGCAACAATTTACGTAAGCTATTTATCTCAAATTAATTCCGAAAACATGAAATTGCTAGTGACTTGTAAAACGAGTCACTGCACTTTGAATCTATACTTTTATACGAAATCAATTGAAACAACTTCTTCTGATTTTGGCTTATTTTATAAAAATAGCTCACTATACTTTGCTATGTTTAGTCATTTATTTTTGAATGTGATATAGTACTATTTGTTTGTAATACTCCATATTACTAAGTGGGTAAGAATAAATGATTTCAGGTCTTTTGTTTTAGAGGGGAAGATGATAGCTCAAAAGGAGAAAAACAAATTTGTAGGATGGATGAAGAGCGTGAAGAAAATCTGCAATCTTTCATTGAATCACTTGATGGAGAAGAATCTGACACTAGTAGTGAATTAGTGATGAACAATGGACAGAAGCAAGGAAAAGAATACAAAACTGGAACTTGAAAAAATGTGAGAAAGTAAAGCAAGTGACTGATTCATTGGAAAGGGTTGCTGATTTGATGACTTTTTCTCTATTTGTATGGACCTATTTTTGGTGGCTGATGCTTCTGTCCTAGTATTTTTGTTCTCAACGTTTGATGCAGCCCAATAGGGTGTATAATTTTGAAACATTTTACTGGTAGTAGTATGTCTAAGATGCTAAATATGGTGCTGTAGCATAATTTTGTTCTATTTCTATTCAACCTAGATGTTTCAACAAGTGTAAGATTGCAAATTTGTTAAGAGTTATAATATAGCTTTATATTTTATCAACAGGCTGATGCTATTAGCTTAAAATATTGTGTTATTCTGAAAAGATATATTATAAGTCATGAACATGTTGACAGCAGTCCTACACTGAAGCAGAAAATTGATTCTCCAAATTCATTCCAATGACATCAAACAAATTCCAATATTTCAATGGTCTTTCCAAAAAAGGTTATGGATTCTGTCATTATTTTTCAAGACCAAAAAGGTTTATTGTTCTCTCTGGTTCATTATATGTGAATTGAAGCTAAAATATTCTAGGTCCAAAAAGGTTTCCTTCCATTGATATGAAATTGTGGAAACATTCTAGGAAACCTAAAACATCTTTAATTATAATCAATTGAAGCTCTTGAACTAATATACTCTGTAATCGTACTGAATTAGAAACTAATATACCATTTTAAAACAAAACTAGGAAATCGAACTTCCAAATTTATTCCAATACCATCAAACTAATTTCAATATAAAGATCATACACATCTCTAATTCCATACATTCAAATATCACTCCAAAACAGAAAATGGAAATTGAACTTCCAAATTCTTTACAACACCATTCTCTCATTGTTATATCCTACCAATCCAAATAGATAAGACTACTCCTATTAAGAATCAGGTTAAAAGAAGACAATGAATAGCATTCTTTTCTGCACTTGATGCTTGTTTAGCTTCAGCTTCATATTGATGTTTCTTCTCAGCCTTCATTTTCTCCGGCTCATTCTTAAGTATTTCATTCTCCTTCACAATTAATTATTTCTGTACATCTGTCGGTGCTATCATTTCTCTCTTATTTGAATCATCCTCCCGTAAAAAAATTACACTTATCATTCTGCAAATACAAAACAAAAAAGTCAACCAACACTTCCAATATAATGAGGTTTAATGTTAGTTTTGGACTGAGTAATCCAAGGAGGCAAGGAACTTCACTTTCGTATACACTACAAAAAAACATCAAAATAGGCACGAACTTGGCACGGATTGGGCAAGTTTGACACAGATTGTAACTTATTTTTGGCACAGCGCTGTGCCAAATAGCTGGTGACAAAACGACTTTGGCACGGAATTTGGCACAGATTTAACGCATCCGTGTCAAATCCGTGCCAAATACCCTATGAATTTTGGCGAATCCGTGCCAAAGCTCCGTGCCAAATCCGTGCCAAAATTGTTGTTTTTTTTTGTAGTGATAGTTTCAAAATTCCTTTTTATTTCAAAATTGAATTAGTAACCGCTGCTATACTAATATGTTGTTCTCTGCCCAATGTCACTTCAACATAACATAAAATTCTTGAACAGAAGAATTTATATAAAATTTTTTGTAGTGATAGTTTCAACATAACATAAGAATTTTATGTTATGTTGAAGTGACATTGGGCAGAGAACAACATATTAGTATAGCAGCGGTTACTAATTCAATTTTGAAATAAAAAGGAATTTTGAAACTATCACTACAAAAAAAAAACAACAATTTTGGCACGGATTTGGCACGGAGCTTTGGCACGGATTCGCCAAAATTCATAGGGTATTTGGCACGGATTTGACACGGATGCGTTAAATCTGTGCCAAATTCCGTGCCAAAGTCGTTTTGTCACCAGCTATTTGGCACAGCGCTGTGCCAAAAATAAGTTACAATCTGTGTCAAACTTGCCCAATCCGTGCCAAGTTCGTGCCTATTTTGATGTTTTTTTGTAGTGTATACGAAAGTGAAGTTCCTTGCCTCCTTGGATTACTCAGTCCAAAACTAACATTAAACCTCATTATATTGGAAGTGTTGGTTGACTTTTTTGTTTTGTATTTGCAGAATGATAAGTGTAATTTTTTTACGGGAGGATGATTCAAATAAGAGAGAAATGATAGCACCGACAGATGTACAGAAATAATTAATTGTGAAGGAGAATGAAATACTTAAGAATGAGCCGGAGAAAATGAAGGCTGAGAAGAAACATCAATATGAAGCTGAAGCTAAACAAGCATCAAGTGCAGAAAAGAATGCTATTCATTGTCTTCTTTTAACCTGATTCTTAATAGGAGTAGTCTTATCTATTTGGATTGGTAGGATATAACAATGAGAGAATGGTGTTGTAAAGAATTTGGAAGTTCAATTTCCATTTTCTGTTTTGGAGTGATATTTGAATGTATGGAATTAGAGATGTGTATGATCTTTATATTGAAATTAGTTTGATGGTATTGGAATAAATTTGGAAGTTCGATTTCCTAGTTTTGTTTTAAAATGGTATTGTTGAGTTTAATCCAACACGATATAGTAAATATATGTATAAATGTGTATGAACAACTCAGTTTTTTACGTGGAAACCCGAAAGGGAGAAAACCACGGGACTTTTTAGGCTAATGTCCAAGCCCTCTCTTTCTCATTAGGACTCTCCTCACAATTACATTGTACAAGCTCCCATTAATGGAGTATTGAGCTAAGTTTAAGAGAAGGAGGAAGATGAATCTAAAAGAGGATCCCCAAAACATGGAGGGAAGCCTCATATTTATAGGGGAAAGGGGAAGGGTGCTCTCCACCCTAATGGGCCGAACGGGCCAATATTGGGGCTAATGGGCCGAAATGGGCCTAGCTGCTCGGGCTCCGTACTGGATGATGTCCTGGGCTCCTGAACAGTAATAGGCCGGGATAATATATCCCAACACAAGTCCCCCAGTTTCTTGAGTAGTGAGCTCGCGAATCTGCTCGAGAAAATATACTCTGCCTGCGCTCTTCCTCTGTCTTGCTGGAAACTGTGTCTTCGCATAATCATAATATATGAGTGATTGTTTGCACTCCTGAACGTAATCTGCCGGTGAGGCACCCCCCTTCCCGACGGAGTTGGGCGAAAGGTGCTCCTCCACGGGCACGCTCCCCCTGAATGCATCAGGCGAGAGTAGAGGACCCTGACTCGAGCTTTCCAATCGGAGAAGCTTAGAGGTCCATGCATTTACAAACCGACGTCGCGGTACTGTCAAACATGATGCACGTGTGTATGTATGAATGTATGAGGTATGATGCATGAATGCATGAATGCATGTAATGTATGAGTGCAATGTATGAGAGAAGGAATGTGAGATGTGATAGAAAGCGGTGGCTCTCATCGATAAACCGGGCATGTCAGCGCCGAGGGGCAGACGTGCTGCATAAGAGACGTTCGACGCCATCCTGAAAGGGATGGGCGACCCTAACGTGAGCCAGACACGATGGCGCTGGGGCGCTGATCGTGCTGCATAAGAGACGTTCGTCGCCATCCTGGAAGGGATGGGCGACCCTAACGTGAGCCAGACACGATGGCGCTGGGGCGCTGATCGTGCTGCATAAGAGACGTTCGTCGCCATCCTGGAAGGGATGGGCGACCCTAACGTGAGCCAGACACGATGGCGCTGGGGCGCTGATCGTGCTGCATAAGAGGCGTTCGTCGCCATCCTGGAAGGGATGGGCGACCCTAACGTGAGCCAGACACGATGGCGCTGGGGCGCTGATCGTGCTGCATAAGAGACGTTCGTCGCCATCCTGGAAGGGATGGGCGACCCTAACGTGAGCCAGACACGATGGCGTTGGGGCGCTGATCGTGCTGCATAAGAGACATTCGTCGCCATCCTGGAAGGGATGGGCGACCCTAACGTGAGCCAGACACGATGGCGCTGGGGCGCTGATCGTGCTGCATAAGAGACGTTCGTCGCCATCCTAGAAGGGATGGGCGACCCTAACGTGAGCCAGACACGATGGCGCTGGGGCGCTGATCGTGCTGCATAAGAGACGTTCGTCGCCATCCTGGAAGGGATGGGCGACCCTAACGTGAGCCAGACACGATGGCGCTGGGGCGCTGATCGTGCTGCATAAGAGACGTTCGTCGCCATCCTGGAAGGGATGGGCGACCCTAACGTGAGCCAGACACGATGGCGTTGGGGCGCTGATCGTGCTGCATAAGAGACGTTCGTCGCCAACCTGGAAGGGATGGGCGACCCTAACGTGAGCCAGACACGATGGCGCTGGGGCGCTGATCGTGCTGCATAAGAGACGTTCGTCGCCATCCTAGAAGGGATGGGCGACCCTAACGTGAGCCAGACACGATGGCGCTGGGGCGCTGATCGTGCTGCATAAGAGACGTTCGTCGCCATCCTGGAAGGGATGGGCGACCCTAACGTGAGCCAGACACGATGGCGCTGGGGCGCTGATCGTGCTACATAAGACGGTCGTCGCCATCCTGGAGGGAATGGGCGAGCCGAACCGTGAAGCCAGGTACGATGGCGCTGAGGGGCCGATCGCACTGCATAAGACGTTCGTCGCCATCCTGGAGGGAATGGGGCGATCCGAACGTGAAAGAGACACGATGGCGCTGAGAAGCCGATCGTGCTACATAAGACGGTCGTCGCCATCCTGGAGGGAATGGGCGAGCCGATCCGTGAAGCCAGGTACGATGGCGCTGAGGGGCCGATCGCACTGCATAAGACGTTCGTCGCCATCCTGGAGGGAATGGGGCGATCCGAACGTGAAAGAGACACGATGGCGCTGAGAAGCCGATCGTGCTACATAAGACGGTCGTCGCCATCCTGGAGGGAATGGGCGAGCCGATCCGTGAAGCCAGGTACGATGGCGCTGAGGGGCCGATCGCACTGCATAAGACGTTCGTCGCCATCCTGGGGCGATCCGAACGTGAAAGAGACACGATGGCGCTGAGAAGCCAATCGTGCTACATAAGACGGTCGTCGCCATCCTGGAGGGAATGGGCGAGCCGAACCGTGAAGCCAGGTACGATGGCGCTGAGGGGCCGATCGTACTGCATAAGACGTTCGTCGCCATCCTGGAGGGAATGGGGCGATCCGAACGTGAAAGAGACACGATGGCGCTGAGAAGCCGATCGTGCTACATAAGACGGTCGTCGCCATCCTGGAGGGAATGGGCGAGCCGAACCGTGAGCCAGGTACGATGGCGCTGAGGAGCCGATCGCACTGGATAAGACGTTCGTCGCCATCCTGGAGGGAATGGGGCGATCCGAACGTGAAAGAGACACGATGGCGCTGAGAAGCCGATCGTGCTACATAAGACGGTCGTCGCCATCCTGGAGGGAATGGGCGAGCCGATCCGTGAAGCCAGGTACGATGGCGCTGAGGGGCCGATCGCACTGCATAAGACGTTCGTCGCCATCCTGGAGGGAATGGGGCGATCCGAACGTGAAAGAGACACGATGGCGCTGAGAAGCCAATCGTGCTACATAAGACGGTCGTCGCCAACCTGGAGGGAATGGGCGAGCCGATCCGTGAAGCCAGGGACGATGGCGCTGAGGGGCCGATCGCACTGCATAAGACGTTCGTCGCCATCCTGGAGGGAATGGGGCGATCCGAACGTGAAAGAGACACGATGGCGCTGAGAAGCCGATCGTGCTACATAAGACGGTCGTCGCCATCCTGGAGGGAATGGGCGAGCCGATCCGTGAAGCCAGGTACGATGGCGCTGAGGGGCCGATCGCACTGCATAAGACGTTCGTCGCCATCCTGGAGGGAATGGGGCGATCCGAACGTGAAAGAGACACGATGGCGCTGAGAAGCCGATCGTGCTACATAAGACGGTCGTCGCCATCCTGGAGGGAATGGGCGAGCCGAACCGTGAAGCCAGGTACGATGGCGCTGAGGGGCCGATCGCACTGCATAAGACGTTCGTCGCCATCCTGGAGGGAATGGGGCGATCCGAACGTGAAAGAGACACGATGGCGCTGAGAAGCCGATCGTGCTACATAAGACGGTCGTCGCCATCCTGGAGGGAATGGGCGAGCCGATCCGTGAAGCCAGGTACGATGGCGCTGAGGGGCCGATCGCACTGCATAAGACGTTCGTCGCCATCCTGGAGGGAATGGGGCGATCCGAACGTGAAAGAGACACGATGGCGCTGAGAAGCCGATCGTGCTACATAAGACGGTCGTCGCCATCCTGGAGGGAATGGGCGAGCCGAACCGTGAAGCCAGGTACGATGGCGCTGAGGGGCCGATCGCACTGCATAAGACGTTCGTCGCCATCCTGGAGGGAATGGGGCGATCCGAACGTGAAAGAGACACGATGGCGCTGAGAAGCCGATCGTGCTACATAAGACGGTCGTCGCCATCCTGGAGGGAATGGGCGAGCCGAACCGTGAGCCAGGTACGATGGCGCTGAGGAGCCGATCGCACTGGATAAGACGTTCGTCGCCATCCTGGAGGGAATGGGGCGATCCGAACGTGAAAGAGACACGATGGCGCTGAGAAGCCGATCGTGCTACATAAGACGGTCGTCGCCATCCTGGAGGGAATGGGCGAGCCGAACCGTGAAGCCAGGTACGATGGCGCTGAGGGGCCGATCGTACTGCATAAGACGTTCGTCGCCATCCTGGAGGGAATGGGCAAGACGAACCGTGAGTCTGGACACGATGGCGCTGAGGGGCCGATCGTGATACAGAAAAATAGTGATGATCATCTCATGGCCCTCGGCCTGTCGGTGAGTGGTAATCGTCTCACGGCCCTCGGCCGTGCTGGTGATGTGTCAAGTCTCTCTCCTGATTGGCTGTGAGAAGCCGATCGTCTGCCAGGACTCCATCCGGGAAGGAATGGTGAGCCTGAAATAAATCTGGGCGATGTCCCTTCTACTTGATCTGGGGAGCTAATCGTCGTTCGAGGCAAAGGAAAACCTGATGTTAGCCGATCGTCGTCGGCCACTTCATTCTTCGTACTTAAGTCTTGTAATTATTCTTTACATATGTTTTTCAGTTTGTACTTCACAGCCAATAGTGCCAAGGGATAAAATCATTCTTTGCTCCGTGCTCTTCTGGCATCTTTTTTTTTTTTTTTTTTTTGGAGTCTTTTAGTCTTCGTTCGTCATTGGTCCTTGGTCCTACCGGCGTTCTTACATCGAAGATACGTTCGGTATCCGCGGACATCGCAATGAGGAACAGGTATATCTACATCGAGATTCCCCCTTTTTCGTTCGTCCCTGGTCCTTTTAGTCTTACCGGCGTCTCTTGCATCGAAGAAGACGTTCGGTACCCAAGGAACTCGCAGGGACGAACTGGTTTACCCTCACGGGTTCCCGTCTTTGTTATCCCACGTCCATCGATCCATGGTCATTGTGGGATGAACAGGTTTATCTTGGCAAGGCTCCCTTGGTTCGTCTAGCCCCCTCCGCGTCTCTACTAACCTCTACATCGAGAGGCGTTCGTCTTCGGCGGTGGGAGAAGATCTGGCACACCCGGGCAAGATTCCCTTCCTCATAGGAGCTACCCTCCTCTTCTCCCCATCTTTTTTTTTTTTTTTTTTTTTTTTTTTTTTTTTTCTTTCTTTTTTTTTTTTTTTTGTTTGAGGGAGGCAATCTATACTCTTCGTTCGTCATTGGTCCTTGGTCCTACCGGCGTTCCTACTTCGAGGAGACGTTCGGTATCCGCGGACATCTCAATGAGGAACAGGTTTATCTGCATCGAGATTCCCTGGTGCTTCGTTCGTCCCTGGTCCTTGGTCCTACCGGCGTCCTTACTTCGAGGAGACGTTCGGTATCCGCAGACATCGCAAGGAGGAACAGGTTTATCTGCATCGAGATTCCCTGGTGCTTCGTTCGTCCGTCCCTGGTCCGTGGTCCTACCGATCTTCCTACATCGAAGAAGACATTCGGTATCCAAGAAACTCGCAGGGATCACGGGATGTCACACATAATGGTGGTGGCATACCAACACGAATAAAATGACGAGGCGACGGAATAGCTGGTCGTCATGCGAAGGCGATGGTCACCCTCCTGGAGGGGAGGGGTGAGCCCGATCGCTGACTCAAGAAGGTCGGCATTGGGAGCCGATATACAATGATCATAATATCGCTGAGCAGTCGGTCCTGATAACGGAGATGGCAATAGTGTCCAGTCAGGCCGATATATCCGAGCAACGGCTCTCATCCAACGCAGCGCGGGGATGAAACCGGTCTTCAAAAGATAAATATGTCGTGCCGAGAGGCCGAACATAACATGATAGTGTCGGCAGTGAGAGGCCGACCTGAAAGAATCAAACAACGGTCCTCGTCCGCGGGGTGGCGGGGACGAGGCCGGTCTTCAAGAGATAAGCACGCCGAGCCGAGAGGCCGGTCGTGGTATAATGGTGTCGGCAATGAGCGGCCGATCTGAGAAAATCAAGCAACGGCCCTCGTCCGCGAGGGCGGGGACGAGGCCGGTCTTCAAAAGATAAGCACGCCGAGCCGAGAGGCCGGTCGTGGTATAATGGTGTCGGCAATGAGAGGCCGATCTGAGAAAACAAGCAACGGTCCTTATCCACGCAGTGCAGGGACGAGGCCGGTCTTCGAATATGGTAATCACGCCGGTCCGAGGGCCGGTTGTGATATAATGATGTCGGCGATGAGAGGCCGAACATGATGTGGCAGTGTCGGCAATGAGGGTCGACCTGCAATCCAGCAACGGCTCTCATCGGCGCAGTGCGGGGACGAGGCCGGTCTTCAAAAGATAGGCACGCCAAGCCGAGAGGCCGGTCATGGTACGACGGTGTCGGCAATGAGAGGCCGACATGAAAGAACCAAGCAACGGTCCTCATCCGCGCAGCGCGGGGACGAGGCCGGTCTTCAAAAGATGAACACGCCAAGCCGAGGGGCCGGTCGTGGTATGATAATGTCGGCGATGAGAGGCCGACCTGAAAATCAGGATGGTCTCACGGCCCTCGGCCGTGATGGTCTCCTCTAGGCCCTCGGCCTCTGAATGATGGATGATCGTCTCACGGTCCTCCGCCGTGGTAGTCCACTATAGACCCTCGGCCTCTAGGTGTTCTCTCCTAGGCCATCGGTCTCTGGGGTGGAGATGCTCGTCTCACGGTCCTCAGCCGTGATGGTCTCCTCTTTAGCTGGCCCTGAACGTCTTCAAGACTCAGGCCGAGCGTCTTTTAATCATTTCACTCGAGCGCGTCGAGTGATTTCAGCTGCGCAATAAGCATGGTAACGGCCACATGGCCCAACAATAAATATGCACACATAACCATCTGCATGGCTTCCTCTTTAACATCCACGAATACCGGCCTATGGGTCATCGTGACCCTCGGCCCGGCTCATCGTGCGGGACTAATGGATGTAGCAGCTCGCGGCGGGGCCAACTGGCAGCCCGCCGAACGTCACATAGAGATATTCATCGGTCCGTGAGTTTTCAAACTCAGACCCAAGTTGGTCGCACTGACCTCAGAAAAAGGAGGTTGGGTGCTTTGGTGCCTTCGGGCCCCACAGGCCACGTTTGGCAATAGTCATTTCGCTTAATGGCGTAAATGATACTGGGGTATGATCGTCGATCGGGCACGTAGTGCCGTGCGGACTATTGCGTAACCCTCAAATTAAAATGCGTCGTCGGGACACCGCCCTTCTGGAGACGCTCGGATCACTTAATCAAGCTGATCAAGAGTGGGCCGACAGGCCCACAAGAAATTAAATATTCAACAAAATGTTGGCTGAACCAACCATCACTAGGGCTTCGCTCCACATTCTTTAATTCGGGACATTTTTATCCCTCAATAAATAATAGTGGTGTAACAGGTAATAGCAGTGATATTTCCCTATCAAAGGCCATTCAGGTAAGCTCCGCTCGCTAATTAAAGCCGATTGGGAGCGGGCCTACGAGCCCACAACAATCAGTCATTAAATTTAAATGACGGTAAAACTAATTATCACTTAGAGCATCGCCCTCATTATTTAATTTCGGGAGTTTTAATCCCTAATAAATAATAGTGATAAAAATTAGTAGCAATATTTCTACTTCTTTAATAATTACGAAGCATGCTTTAATGAAAAGGTGAAGAAGTTAGAAACTTAGCTTTGGATGGGGCTCGGCTGCTTAGAAATTTCTGAAATTATTTTGGTTCCCCATTGTTTGACTCGGTCAAAACTCTCCACGAGCCAAGACTCCAATTATTTAGCCACTTTCAAATCCCAAAGTTGACGTACGTCCAAGCCAAGAGGATCTCGGCATGGTGGTATTCCCCCATTTGACTTGGTCAAGATGCCCCAAAGCTTATCCCTCAGCCACCATTCACTTCCTTTCACGTGGTCTCCTGAGGACCAAGGCCTTCGAGCACTATCGCTACTCCGTATCATCCGAGAAGCCAGCTGAAACACCGGCTCACCAACCCAAGACCAGATGACGGAGGTACAGGCACCTGGCTGGAGGTCGAGCTGCGACGGAGGTGAGGACATGGTTCACCGGTTGGCGGGGTCCGCAACAACGGTTGGAGTGAGGCCCGCGATGTGGCTACGACGGCGAACTAGGACGGCCTATTCCGACGTCGACCCGGTCAGTTGGACTGCCAGAACCTGTGTTGCCGGTGGTGTGGCCTAGGACGCTGCTAGAGCTCCATCCGGTGCGGCTCCACTCGCCGGAGGTTCATTGCGGCGGGGATGGTTACGGAAGCTCCGGCGGCCTCAAGAACAGATCTGGAAAAAATCCAGATTTTGCAGCTTCCTCTTTCCCTTCCCAGAACCTTTCTTCCTAGATTTTTTTCCTTTTTCACTGGAATCCTCTTCCTCCTATTTTGCTTTGAAGAATACTTCTTCTTTGTTGGAATCAGTCTTTTTCGTATGAATTTTTGTGTAGAAACTCAAGAACAGTAAAACACATGAATCTTTTTGGACAGATTCCCACAGACGGCGCCAGTGTTGAGTTTAATCCAACACGATATAGTAAATATATGTATAAATGTGTATGAACAACTCAGTTTTTTACGTGGAAACCCGAAAGGGAGAAAACCACGGGACTTTTTAGGCTAATGTCCAAGCCCTCTCTTTCTCATTAGGACTCTCCTCACAATTACATTGTACAAGCTCCCATTAATGGAGTATTGAGCTAAGTTTAAGAGAAGGAGGAAGATGAATCTAAAAGAGGATCCCCAAAACATGGAGGGAAGCCTCATATTTATAGGGGAAAGGGGAAGGGTGCTCTCCACCCTAATGGGCCGAACGGGCCAATATTGGGGCTAATGGGCCGAAATGGGCCTAGCTGCTCGGGCTCCGTACTGGATGATGTCCTGGGCTCCTGAACAGTAATAGGCCGGGATAATATATCCCAACAGGTATATTAGTTTCTAATTCAGTACGATTACAGAGTATATTAGTTCAAGAGCTTCAATTGATTATAATTAAAGATGTTTTAGGTTTCCTAGAATGTTTCCACAATTTCATATCAATGGAAGGAAACCTTTTTGGACCTAGAATATTTTAGCTTCAATTCACATATAATGAACCAGAGAGAACAATAAACCTTTTTGGTCTTGAAAAATAATGACAGAATCCATAACCTTTTTTGGAAAGACCATTGAAATATTGGAATTTGTTTGATGTCATTGGAATGAATTTGGAGAATCAATTTTCTGCTTCAGTGTAGGACTGCTGTCAACATGTTCATGACTTATAATATATCTTTTCAGAATAACACAATATTTTAAGCTAATAGCATCAGCCTGTTGATAAAATATAAAGCTATATTATAACTCTTAACAAATTTGCAATCTTACACTTGTTGAAACATCTAGGTTGAATAGAAATAGAACAAAATTATGCTACAGCACCATATTTAGCATCTTAGACATACTACTACCAGTAAAATGTTTCAAAATTATACACCCTATTGGGCTGCATCAAACGTTGAGAACAAAAATACTAGGACAGAAGCATCAGCCACCAAAAATAGGTCCATACAAATAGAGAAAAAGTCATCAAATCAGCAACCCTTTCCAATGAATCAGTCACTTGCTTTACTTTCTCACATTTTTTCAAGTTCCAGTTTTGTATTCTTTTCCTTGCTTCTGTCCATTGTTCATCACTAATTCACTACTAGTGTCAGATTCTTCTCCATCAAGTGATTCAATGAAAGATTGCAGATTTTCTTCACGCTCTTCATCCATCCTACAAATTTGTTTTTCTCCTTTTGAGCTATCATCTTCCCCTCTAAAACAAAAGACCTGAAATCATTTATTCTTACCCACTTAGTAATATGGAGTATTACAAACAAATAGTACTATATCACATTCAAAAATAAATGACTAAACATAGCAAAGTATAGAACAAAATACGTGGCACGTATGGAAAAAACAAGTCCAGGTCCTCTTTTTGTAAAACTGGTATGAATCAATCCTATACGGAGCAATTTTCTCATTGTCTTATGGCCATACCAGTATACGCTTATTTTTTGTCCATCCCTATCCGTTCATGACAGCTTCCCGTTTATCAATTCAGGCCTTTTTTTCTTAATCCACTTTTCACCTTCAGTATTTTTATTCGACTCTGAAGAAGACGGAGAGTAGAATTTTAGGACGCGCCTTTTGGAGATCACACTCTGGTGCTGATTCTTTAATCGTCGTGCGATCGGAAGTCAAAGAGGGGAAAGGGGATATACGAAACGGCTGCAGACACTCTGATACATACTAGGGTTTCTTGCCTTCTTGGAGGAAGATAAACACGCTATGGCTCCACCGCTCCAGGGCGTAAACGTGGAGCAAAAGGAGTGAAGACGACCAGTGAGTTGAGTATCGGTGATCTTGTCCTGACCAAGTTTAAGGGTTTCCCTGCCTGGCCTGCAAAGGTATGCGTCTGCTGCCATTCACGTGTGACATGTGGGAAAATTTTGGAATACAACATGGCTATGCGTTTAGGTTTTGTTAAATTGTCTGTTATCTTCTTAATCCTAGAAGAAAGTTTACGCCCTGTTTATATGTTTTACTATAATTGTTAGCTACTTAGCATTGGGTATAATAGTTTGATATGAGGACCCATTGCTGGACTATAGATAAACCTGAAGCGGTTATATATGTGTGATTGCCTCCCAGTTAGCCAACTTAATTGAAGTCTGGTAGGTGCCACATTACATTGGAAAGAAGGGTTCGATGGCTAAACAATGATGCAGTGAATATAATCAACATAATAATGGGCAGCATTTTTGCAATCTTATTGCAACAAATGATGCTCCAAAGAAGCAATGATTAGACAGTGTACACAAACACATTGGTTCTTCTAAGAAGAAATGTTTGAGGGTTCTTTTATCTCTCTCTTCTGGGAAAGAACCGACCTTTTTTGTGTATTTGGTAAGAAAAATCACACTATCTGATTACATACAGGACATGTCTTCTTAATGGGGAATCATTTCTAATTCAAGAAGGAATTAGAGATAGCCAATAACAAATACTACGTAGCTTTATACTTGTAACTAATGCAAGCTTTGTTAAAATAATTAAAACTCAACAGTGCACTTCTCTTTCATTTAAATTTACAGCAGTGTATGAACAAAAAGATCTCTGCTATAGTTTTGTCTTAGCGTGGACAACATTGTGGGGGGGGGGGAAAGTTTGATATGCGGACCTTTTCCATCTAAGTTGGAAATATTGGAGCCTTGCAGGATAAGTTTATCTTAAGTACTTAAGTAATTGTGAAAAATCCATGCGTGTGATTATTACTCTTTTTTAAGTAAGGGGTGCTTGGATCTAATTCTAAAAGGATTAGATCTAATTGGAAGAGAAATGAGATATTGGACTGTTGTTGAAACTTCAGAGACACACTCCTAACTGCTCTTCAGAATTATTTTTGAGAAGCTAGGGAGACCAATTTCTCATAAATTGATTCTGCTTCTTGAATACGAGTATTAGCCAAATAACCTTTTGTAAATAGAAATGCAAGTATTAATAAAAATGCACATAAGTAAACATATTAGCATAATACAAATATAAATGTAAAACTAAAAGATATAGATGAATTATATATATATATATATATATATATATATATATATATATAAACGTAAGTATAATTGTGTAAATGTAAATAACTAAATACTTCGTATAAACTAGTGATATAAATAGGGTATCAGATTGCTTGTAGCACAGTGGTTGGCTCATTTTTGTTTTTGATAAGACTATGTTTAATGTACTGGAAGTAAACAAAACCTGCTATGACTCTTGCGATTCTGACCATTTCATTTACAACTTCACACGTGGTGGAGGAGATGTTGTTGAACTTAACCAGACCAAGACTTGCTATTTCATTATCCATAGTTGGCAGTGCATAAGTGTATCAATGAAAGTAACAATTCACATTGAAAAATGACCGCCTTCTCAGACACCTTCCCAAAAAAGAGCAGTTCTCCTACTTTGCTCTCCACATTCAGAGGTAAAATTCTTCTACCAGCTTTGTTCACCATTTCTGCTGCGTGGGATTCCTTCCTGTTGCTGGTATTGGTAGGAGTATTGTTCAGATTATACGACTTTGCTGAATTGGTTAAGTTAACTTGGACCAATCCAATTGTGAAGAAGATATCTATGTAGGTTGATGCGTGCATTTATGTACCGGTGTGGTGGGAAGCAGCTCTGCAGCTATGGGACTGAGGAGTGAGCTATCCGGTGTGATACTCTGGTGGCACTAAGCGTTTTTTCATTTAACATGGGGCAGTGAATTACTATTGCTTTATTCCCGTACTTTTAACATTATTTTGTTATTCTTAAATGCTCATCATTTGTTATAAGCAAACAATCCGTTAGTTTTTGATTCTTTTTTGTTTCTTCCTTAAAACAAGAAACATGTTAATGGTGGTAAGTATTATCCCATGAAAAATATATTTTTTAAAAATATTCTCATCAAAGCAAAAATTGAAAACAATCTCATGATGCAGGTAACTTTTTGCAGACTTGTGTCTTTTTGTCACTATTTTTTCACTAATATTTTCCTATATTGAATTTCAACGTCAGACATATAAAGTTGTATTCCACATACATTATTTGGCATTTGTCTCATCGCGCAATGCGCGTGTAAAAACTAATAAAATAAAATAAATGTGGACGAAGGCGACGAGCTTACAAACAAGGAAGAGTCCATAGTCGATCGATGTTTCTCCACCACCGATCGGCCACCTTTAGTAGTTCTGGTACCTTCAATCTTACATAGCTTACCGGCTCTATCCATCCTCAGTCATCTACTCATCTTGCTCCCACCCTATCTAGGTGAAAATGCTTGTTGTGGACTCATGGCATGCATTTTCCATTAATTTTTTGTTTTACACTTAGAGTTCGATTTTCTTTATAGTATTCTTTTTAGTTTTTAGTTGCTTTATATTTCAGATAGAGCATGAACTTTTTGCAGTAAAAATTTCAGTTTGTAATGTCTATAATTTGTTTGAAATAATTCCTCAATGAGATTTTCTATTTTCAATGAGTATGTATATAGTTTGTTCGCAAAAATGTCTCAATGGGGTTTTCTATTTTAAACCATTTTATGAAATCTCATCTCTCTAAGTCTCTATGATAAGTGAAGTTTGATTATACTGTGTGTAAAATGTGTAGGAGTTCTTGACGCTCTGATTAAATGTCTTTCATTATATGGTGCAAAGTTTTATACCTACAGTTGTTTTAACCATGTCATCTGGCGAATACAGATGAAGTTCCCCTTTAAATGCATTGGACAATTACAATCTAGAATGGTTTTAGACTTTTTTGCTTTGCCTGCATGCTTAATTTGGAGACTAGTAGACCTACAGTTAGAACTTCGGAAAAAGAATTCTAAGGTTTTTGAGCAGCCAGTTTGGTGCAATTCTTTCGTTGTTATATACGTTGATACGTAGATTGCTTATATCGATGAAAGAAAATATAACAGTTGAAGAAATTAGAAAGTTTGCGGAATGGAGTTCAAATATCTGGGTTAAAGTGGTTTGGCCATGTGTGTAGAGGATTGAGTGATGTACCCTTAGATGAATTCAGAGGTGGGGAGAGGAGAAAGGGAGGAAAGGGAAGGAACAAACAGAAATGGATTAGGTTGTCAAAGTTGAGACCGCTGGAGTACTCATATTGTGGTGTAGCCTGAGGCGCAAGGCACAAAAAATCACACTATTTAGAAAATATTGTGTATACTATTCTAGTGCAATCAAATATGACATATTCAATATCATATTGAACTAAATGCATTAAAAAGTCATGTTTTTAATTATAAAGCATGCATAGATGTCTGGAAGTGATAAAAGTAAAGAAAGAAGATAGGCTGAAAGAATAAAATAAAAGGATAACAAGAAGATGAAAATAAATAAATTAACACTACATGTTGATAAAGAAAGAAGAAAGAACATGGGAAGATGAAGAAGGTAACTGATGGGTTTGTGGCTTCTGTGTGTTGACAATTGAGTGCGGTGTGGTGTCAGCGCTGAGTAGGTCATAGAAGAGTAACGATGAAGTATTGAAGTCACAATAGAAGACTTTAATGCGCAAGGGTTTGGCATGGGTTTTAGGATGTTTTATGTGGACTGATTTTTTTTTTGTGTTGGTCTATTTAAATCTGATCTGGTTTGAATCGGTTTGGTAGATGTCTGATATATGTATATTTTACAATTGGCGAAGCTATGTCTGGTCAGTTTAAGTCTGGTCTGTTCTAGGACTGATATAAGTCCAAGTAAAAACATAAGTTGTTTTGACCTATTATTTGGACGGAATAGATCTTATGTTAAATATGGGCTTATTGTTTAAAGTAATACTACCTCCTTCCCATAATGTAAGATGCATTTGAGTTTGGTTTGGGTTTTAAGAAAGTAAAGTATAAAACTATTGTTTTACAATTCTAACCTCCAAAAAGTAAAAAAGAGAAAAATAACGGGATAAAGTGGGAAAGTAAAAAGTTAGTGGAGTCTAATTTAAGAAAGTGTTCATATTTTTGGAACAACCCAAAAAGGAAAGTCTATCTTACAAAATGAGACGGAGGGGTATCAAATAGAAAAAAAGGCTGATATGCCTTTCCCAGCCCAAGCAACTTAAGCATGCACTTTTCATCGCTTCAATGCTTTTGTGCTTATTGCGCCTCACTCAGGTTGCTGCACCAGGGACCCTGATAGGCGGTTATCATCATATGTGGCTTGCTTGGTGCGCTTAAGCGTCCTGGTGCTCATTATTGCTCACTATTGACCACACTGGATGAGAGTATGTCTATGGAGGGGGCAGAGTGGGGGGAGAGTATATGTGGTGGATTGATCTGATTTAGTTTCTCTCCATTTTTCTCTATTTATTGTTTTTAACTCAGATATCATATGTCTATTCGTGTTAGTCGACCTCAAATGCTTTTGGGAATAAGTCATAGATGTTGTTGCTGTTGTTGGGAGTTAGAGTGTTCATGATTGTTGGGACATGTTGCTACTTCATTATTAGGATTATTATGATAGAGAGCAAGGAGAGGAGAGGGCTTTACGGAAGAGGAGGGTCTGAGATCCAGGCCTCTGTCGATTTACTGCAGGAGGGAACGGGCTGGCTGTGGGCTGGAGTTTTAGTTTTATTTATTATAAATTATATTATATTTTTAGTTTGGACCCATTATTAGTAGAGTATTTAGTCGAGTTAATTTGGGCCTAATTAGGGTTTATTTAATTTGGGCTCGACTAGGGTTTCTGTTTGGCTCTCTTACTAGAAGGGTATTTATACCCCTTGTTAGGGTTCATTGACTTCATTCTTGCTCATCTATTAATAAAATTGGATTTTCAGCCTTTTGGCTCTGGGCAACGGTTCCTAACGTAGATCATTCCGGGCAACGGTATATTCCGTTGATTTTTATTTTCTGTTCTCAACATATTATTATTGTGTTCATATTTAGGAATTATATAAGACTAATATATTACTGGAATTTTTGTTGATTTAATTGATTAAAGTCTCACACTCTCACATCTAGTGAATTTACTTGTTATGTTTCTTGGTTCAAACATTAGTGAGTCTTAACATACAGTTTTCTTCAATTACGTTTTAAGCAGATTAGGTTATCAACACCTTACTAGGTTGGAAAAACAGCTGAAGTAGCTCTAATCGGTCAGGAGATGGATGCAAAGGATATTTTAGGATTGCCAAAGAATACAGTGTCCATACCCTCAGAAAAGAAGTCCAGACCTCAGAAAGAGTCTCAACGCAAACCTGATGGCATTTCGCGAGAAGTAATTATTTTCTTTCTCTTTTCCTGTAGCTAAGGACTTGCATAGTTTTTGTTATCTTTTGTATTTGATTTTCTTAAAGTTGTTGGTTTTGGCTTTGCAATATTCTAGGTTTACGCCCTTACAGGAGGTCTAGCGCCTCTTATGCCTGCTATTGACATAAATCATTTGAAACGACGAACACAGACAGAGAATGAAAAGGTAATGGTAATCTGAATCTTTTTTATGTGATTTTCTTGAGAAATCATAAAAGTGTGAGATACTGACCTGTCTTTATTCAGATTACTTGGCAATGGCTACCTTTTACTAATTCTGCCCGAAATGACAACTTGGAACTGTACCACTGGGTATGTCCAGCTCATCATTGTAAAAGTCTAGGTTCAGACTAGCAAAGTCTGTGTACCTAAAAGCTCTTTTCTACCTCTTTTGTTTTAAGGTGAGGGTTGTAAATGGTGTTTTGCCTAAAGATGACTATTCATTTGCCAAGTATAACAAGGTATGGGGAAGAATCTTTATATTGCCTCATGGAGTTGAGTTGAAGTCCTTATTCACATGCATTTATTTATGCAAAAAAATCATGAACCTATTCTGTTGTTTTCCATGATTCATTGCAGTCTGTGGATGTTATTCAATACACAGGAGAGGAGTATGAGAAGTATTTGACAGATCCTGTATGTATTTCAACTCCCAACTCTCAAGTATATTAAATATTGGGAAAAGTAGCAAATAAGCCCTCAAACTAACCAAAAATGTGCAAACACCTCTTATATAGGAGGTTCTGTCCGGCCGTCGCCATTTTGGGCGGTTCCACCGGGATCCTTCCCAAATGACGACAGCCGGACAGAGCCTCCTATATAAGGGGTGATTTGCACTTTTTTGGTTAGTTCGAGGGCTTATTTGCCCCTTTTCTCTTAAATATTAAATACGGAGTATTATACTACAATATTGGTAGATGATTACAGTGTCGCTCCCCTTAAAGTGAAAGTGATGCTTGGTAGACATTAAAACAAACACAATAGGGATACATTACTGTGGTATATGCTCATTGGGTGATGATAACATATTAACATGTCTAACTTTTCATCCTAATGAATGTGTGTCTCATCGGAATTTCTCCCTACAATATCCAACTTTAATGGCATCCACACTAGAAATTCAAAAGTCATGAAACTTTGTGAGATAGCAATGCAGTATTAATAATTTAATATGATATACTACATATTTCTCTTTGCTGCATTCACTGTATCATATGTAACTGAACAGCCCAAACTCCCCAAAGTGTACTGGTTCTTTAACTTACATATTTCTATTATCAGATGTGGACGAAGGAAGAGACAGACCAATTGTTTGAGCTGTGTAAAAGGTTTGATCTGCGTTTTGTTGTGATAGCCGATAGGTTCCCATCATCACGTACAGTTGAAGAGCTTAAGGATCGTTATTATACTGGTATAGTGTTCATTTTCTTCTACTTCCGATGAATCTTCTTAATGACTGTTTACTGCTTATATCTATGATCTTTAATGTGCTTGCAGTGTCTAGTTTTTTGTTGTTATTTTTAAGTTGTACAAATTATGATTTCCCTGGCTTCATTGTGCTCAGTATCAAGGGTTGTCTTGAACTCAAGGTCTGCATCTTCTGTTGATGTTGTTGGGCATCCCATTCTTAAGGTTTGCTGACAGTATCCCATCTTACTGTGTGTTTGCATAATAAGGATACATATAAGTGCACACACACGTGTGTTTGCATGTTTACATTTGTTTATGTTTCAATCTGATGTCTAGCGTACTGTGTTTTTTAACTGTGCTCTGAGAATTCTCACAATGCTGCAGGAATCTGAGCCTTACAATATGACTCAAGAGATTGAAAGGAAACGTGCATTGTCTATGGTGCTTTCGCATACAAAGCATCAAGAACGCAGGGATGCAGAGGTTTTTTTAGTTTCATTTTTATCTTATGTTTGAGCCAAGACAAACTGAAGATTACATTGATGTAGCTCTCAATAAACTTGTACGTCTCATTTCACTCATCTCTCTATTCTATCTGTTTATTTCATTTAAAATATTCAAGGTCCTTGCCGAAGCAAAGAAAATAATGGAATCACGTAAGGCTTCCAAGGTAATTTCTACCACTCTGCCCTTGATGTCTTGAAAAAAGAAAGTAGTTTTTATAAACAGTTTTCCACTTGAAGACTTTTGTATCATCCGATCTGTAGGTTGCTGAAGAGTCAGAGCTACCCCTCATGTCAGATTTTGGACCAGAAGGTCTGGATATGGCCGCTACTGTTAATCCTGCTTCAACTTCACCCAATGCTCAGTTCCCTTTGGGCACAAGTGCTACTCCCATATCAGAAACTGCTTCAACTTTAGCTTCTCTTCGCATGGTGTGCTCAAGTAAAAGAACACAATAATAAATTACTACCTCCATCCCGAATAAATTGTCTTGTTTGGCACACTTATCAATGAAGTGGTTGACAAAGTAAAAGATGTGGTTGAGATTTGATTGATAAAGATTGAATCATTGAAATGATATGGACCACATATATCTTGTCAAGAAAGGAAACAAGACGATAATTTTGGGACAACCCAAAAAGGAAATCATGACATATTTTGGGACGGAGGGAGTAATGAAAATGCTATCATATTGGTTGAATGGTGTATAATTGTGTATTGTATTGATCATGATGGTTAAATTATATCAGTTGGGGGTGTACTTGCGTACCTATGCACTTGAGCAAATGGTGCAAGCAGCAAGCTCGTCAGCGGGACTTCGGACTATAAAGCGTGTTGAACAAACTTTACAAGACCTAGGGGTTTGTGCAACTCCATTTCTTTCTGTTGATACTTTTTTGTTTGTATTCTCTCCACTTTTTTGTTTGGCATAGTATACGATTTTAGTGGAACCATAGCAGGAGTTTGGAGGTTGAAGTCATTTCCTTCATGAGTTGACTTTTGCATAATGTTGATTATTTCTTGTAAAAGTGAAACATAATTCCTCACTCCCGAGCACATTTTTATAGCTTTGTTGTCAAAGAATTGAAAGAGTTAAGTTTAATAGATTGAATTTACAGGTGAACTTGAAGCCTAAAGTTCCAACTAAACTAGTATGTGCGGAGCATCTTGAACTTAGAAAAGAAATATTGACCCTATTGAATCTTCAAAAACAGGTATGCTGGAGTAGTGGCTAATGTCATCTCTAACGTATAAAATTTATGTAAAACAAAAATATAATTGGGAGCCCAAAAGAAAGATAATTTGAACTGAGTTTGTGGATCAGTTGCAATATAAGGAGTCTGAAGGTTCTTCCTATCGTGATGGTTCATATTCTGAAACACCCGGTACACCAACTAAGGTTAGAAAAATGTTTCTAGTTTCATCTTTCCCATATTTTCATGCTTAAAGAATCATTAAGTGTACACATCTCTTATTCCATCATCTATTGACAGCGAGCACAACGCAGTGCTGATCAGGACAGGACATTCGGCCCTGACTTAAGTTTTGGAGGTAATTTGACCTTTTTCATTTTCTCTATATTGAGATGATTTGTTTTGTAAGAGGTAAGTGCTTTTTATGTAATACAAGTATCTTTACTGCGAAAGGAAGCTTTGAATAAAAAAACATGCATATGAGGAGCAAACTGATTTGCCAATAAAAGAGAGGAGCAAACTGAAGATTAGTTTGGAATCTGAGCAAGGCAAGGGTCCAAGAAGGTTCCCACCACAAAGGTGTATGAGGAGCAAGCCTACCATGTCATTTTGACAAAAGGCTGCTCCCAAGACTTGAACCTGTGACCTTTAAGTCACCGTAACTGGTGCACCAAGCTTCCCTACAAGAGAAAGTGTTTCCCTTCTGAAAATCCCACTATATTTGTTAAAGGAGAATCACTTCAATGATCTAATAAAAGCACTTATATAACATGAGTATTCCCTACTGTTTTTATTTTGGTTCAAATTAAAGATTATGAGTTGCAACTACTTTGGTTGTTTACTTTTTTGTTAGGTGAAAGAGTTGGTAAAAGGGATCAAAAGCGCAAGGTACACACCTTATTATGTATTATTATAGCTATGACCACTAGTACTAGTATTTTTCAAGCTTATATAATTTATGAGTTTAATGTAACAAGCTATCGATTCATGTTAGCCGACCCCAAAATCTTTTGGGACTAAGGCTTGGATGTTGTTGTAATGTAACAATACAGTAGTATTAATTGGAACAATTCAAATGAATAATCTCACATTCACATTTAATGATGCTCTTTCCATATACCAAATATGTGTAGTTCTATTATAGTAACTAGATTCTCACCCGTGTGATGCATGTCACAAAATTACGTAAAAAATAAAATCATATTATTTGTTAATCATGTTAGTCAATGATTATTTTTACAACTAGAATATATAATTTTATTAAATGAGAATTATATGTAATAAAAAAATAGTATATAAAGTCAAAGCTAGTGCATACAATGTCTTGGAAGAAAGTGATTTATATATTCCATGAGGTTTTTTATGAAGATTTTTGTTTGAATTTATGATTTTTTAAGAAAGTTGAAATTTTAGTTTTGATTTGTCCATTGTTCCTTACAAAAAGTAGATTATGCATAGTGGGAGAGAAGAAAAAAGTTGTTGTAAGGCAGGTAAATGAAGTAAGGACATAAAGTATATAATATTTGATATACATTAGATATTCACATATAAATATATATTTGATAAATTATAGACATTAATACAGTATGATAGATGCATTCGTACATATAATCTAGTATGTATTTATTCGCATTCGCATTCGTACAGTTATTTCTAAAGGTACAGTGACTGAACTTTGTCAAGAGTTTTGATAATAAGACTATTCTTGAAGTTAAGAATCGTTTTCTTTAGGTCCACTATTAAGTATTGGAAAATCATAGTTCTATCCATAGCTATTAATACAGGGCCATTATAAAATTTGTTCAACATAGTCTCAATATCCTTTTTTGGCTCAAATCATTCCAATTTTTGAATTTTGTTTTTTTTAGAGTTTTTAGTAGTTACACTGTCCTCTGTGATGGTGATGAACCAGAGAAAATTTACTCTGCGGGAAAATCACCAATTTTCCATGGGCTTTTGTATATAGTAAGATATGAACTTCATGGTTAACCTTCTCAAAATGAAGTAACTTGGTAAACCGGTATGAAGGAGTCAGAATAACAAAATTTGATAAGAAACATATGAAACTCTTACATTCTTCATCATCCTCCCAAAGTCAAGTCAAAATCTTCAGATAGCTCGTATTGAATTTTTCATTGCAATATAGCCGCCATCAATACACTAGGCACACTGGCACAGCTGCATCAACTACTCCACTAGCAACAATTAGGAGGTGAGCGAGAGGCTGAAGTAGTAGATGAGTGGGAGGCCTTGTTAGTTCCAAAAGTTTGGGTCCGAAGTACAAATTGAAGGAGAGGACTTCTGGCATAGCACTGAAATTTTTTTAGGAAAGAGAGCGAAAAAGAAATGAAACGTAACAGAAGGGATAAAACAGAGGACATTTACGACATGCTACGTCGCTCCGCAAACTGCTTAATTGGTATCTGCAGGTTACTAGTTCATCTTGGGAAGATACCCTATGATTGAGATTACATTGTCTGAGATTCTGTAATTAACTTGTGGAGAATATCAATGTGTTGGATTAATTATTGTATTGTACGAATTTTCGATATTTGTGATAGATAATTTCATATGGGGAAAATAATTCAAATCCCCTAAATTTTAGAGAGGTTGTAGCTAAATACCCTAAAATTGCATATATATTATAAAAATATCATTAAGTTTATATAAAAAATTATCTTAGAACCATGGCCTTAATTTTTTTACATGTAAATTTATGGTGTTAAAACTGTTATGTGCACAACATATATATTCTCAACATATAGGAAGGTGCACTTAAGATTCTAACCTTCCATTTTCATTTAAGCAATTTGAGTTCATGGTGATGAAATCACCTATAGCGTAAAGTTTATGATGTTTATGTTAGACATAGTAAGTTTGGGATATTCTGTTCACACTTCTCCAAGTTTGGCGTATTTGGATTGTTTTTCTGTTTTCATTTATACATTTTCCTCTATAAGTCGTGTTGTTCTATGGAGATGTCTTAGAATTGCATATTAATCTGACAATTGGGCTGGTTTTAAGGCACCCGGAACACCCAAATTTGAAGGCTCCCCTGCAACGTCAAAACGTCCGAGGAAGCTGAAAACCTCAGATGGATAGCCTGTTGGTAGGTGGCTAGTACTCAAGTTCTATATTTCAAACTGGTATATATGTTTGCAGTGCTCTAACTGTAGGAGTTTTCCCAATGTGATGTGGTATTTTGGGTTTATTTCTACAGAGCAGAGCAGAAACACTACCTTTCTGTGAATGCTTTCTTCTTCTTCAGGCATGATGTGGCCAAGCTGCTTGAAGTGGGACGTTCAGCCACACTGGTGAAGGCTCCAACTGACCAGTATGGAGTAGCTCCAACTGACTGGCATAGTGCTATTATTATTAAATTTTAACACGTGAGTTCCAGCCAGTATTAATCTGTAAATTCCAGGTTTCTCACTGTAATTATCCGCCGGCAAACCTGAAAATGCTACCAAATATTGAGTTGGATTTACCACCACCAAGCCTAGTTCTTCTTCTTCTTCTTCTACTTCTTCAGGTTTTCTTATAAAACTGGCCAAAATATAAATTAGATTGTTTTTTAGATGAGAGTTTCACAAATTGAAACAAATTGTTTGACTTTGTAGCTTGATTGTCATTAATTTTACTTGTAGCAATTTTTTAATTTACTATCTCTTACGATAGTATTACACTATTACTTAAGATTCACATGTTTACAAATGAGGGGTGTTTGGAATTGATTCTACTTCTGCTTCTTTTTTAAAGTGCAATCAGAATCAGTTTCTAGAAGCTGGTCTCCCCCTGCTTCTAAAAAAACTGATTCTAAGAGTAAATTAGAGCACCAGAATCACTTCTGCACTTTCATCAAAACACTCTAACTTCTGCTTCTGCTCCCTGGAGCAGAAGCAGTTTTAAGAATTAGATCCAAACACCCCATGACTCTAGAAACGTTTGTACTCTGTAAAAGTTTGATTAGGACTAGCTTGCAAACGTTTATACATATTTTGTATTTTTAGTATCATCTTTGAGATAAGATTATGAAAAGTTTTCTGAAATAACATTTGGGTTGACTTGCTCTTTCGAATTATGCGTGAGTGTTGATCTTTTTACTCCTTTATTTTGCTTCCTTTCATGTACATATTTCCTTTTCTTTTGCTCCTTTTTCTTTATTTTCCTATTCAATTCTACAGTTCTTTTCTCATTCTCCAATCTCCATCAAATACTATAAATGTAATTACAATTTTACTTTTCTTTATCTTCAACAAAAATTACAACTCATTCTGTTTTTTATTCTTTATCAATTCATGACAAAAGATGTTAATTTAAATTAAACAAGTATATTACATTTCAAATTCATTCACTTTTTATATTTCTATAAAAAATTTGTATTATATGCTTTTTTGTAATATTTTTTTTTGTATTATATACTTTTATGTAATATTAATCTAAATAAGATAAGATACATTTAACATTCTTACACTATTTTTCGTTTCTGTAATATTTTTTGTATTTTACACATTTTTTGTATTTTTTTTTTTCATATTCACACTTTTTTTTTACAATAAACTACATTTTTTTAAAATAAAGAAATAATTACATAAATATGACCAAAATAAAGATGATTTACAAAAATATGACTAGTTACTAGAATAGTAATGAGATTATTGTAATTCATGTTCAAGTTTTGAACTTAAGTTATCACAACACCACATTGTAGTAATGAATAGTCATATTTATATAAACAAGTTTTATTTTAGTAATATTCTTGTAAAACCTCTTTTTTTAACATGTGTGAGTTATGTTTATAGAAAAATTTTAGAGTTCCATTTGAAAATATATGGAGTTCTATCTTCTTGTGCGTAAATTACATTTTTATGCGTGATTTATATCTTCTTATTTACATTTGAACTTGACTCAAGAAGTTACATTTGCATACATCTAATTTAGTCTTTCTATCAACGGAGATACATTTTTCATAATACGAGTTACATTACAAAGTAAACTTATGCTTTACATATAATATATTTTTTTGGCAAAATGTATATTTTTTTTGTCAAAAAAAGTATTTTCCTTAAAACATTTTTATGGCCTTAATATTAAAAACAAAACATACTTAATATTTAAGTAAATTAATTGAACAATTAGATTCTTTGTTTTCATTGTTTACATTTAATAGTATAAGGAGTTACATCTTTTTATACGCTAGTTGCATCTGTTTATACGTGAGTTAAATCTTTTTATGTGCGAGTTACATTTGGATTTGCATCAGCAAGTTACATTTTGCCCTAAGTTAATTTTTCATCAACGTCATTCACATTTTCCATATTATAAGTGACATCACAATTCTAATTCTGCTATTGAAACAAAAATACCATCTTTTGAAGGGGGGATGTTTTCTCTTTTGCAAAAATAATAATAATATTTTTGACAACATTTTTATGGTCTTAATATTAAAAATAAAACATATTCAACATTAAAAACAATGTTTAAGACAAGTTACATTTCGACTTGACTGCGGTTACGTTTCTTTACACGCTAGTTACATCACCTTGTTACTGGGACAAAGAAAAACTCAATTATTGTTCACACGTGTTACTGTGAGCCGGGACACCGGGTCGGACTGAGCCAGTACAAAGAATATTTTTTGAAAGTTTTTTACACGAAATATTTAGGCATTTTTTAAATTTGGACTAGACCAGGACCAGGATTGACCCCTCCCTAACTACGCCCATGTTTTCACTATGAGAGCATCATGCTTACTGCAGTTATCCCATGATATAACAATGGATCCATATTGGTGTTGTTCAATTCACATTTGTATTATTGTTAATATGAAATCTTAAATATCCTCCCCATGTTGGAAAATGAAATTTGATATCAAGAAAGTATATTTTGAGTATCATTGTTGGTGATGATTTTTTTAGTTTTGACATTTTCAAAATTAATTGGATGAAAATGATGTGGCAATGATGCACGAGTAAAAAATGGAATATTTTAAAAACATGAATAGGAATGCCTTATGTATTAATTTGTTGCTTAAATACTCATATTTACAGGGATTTCTTAAAATATTACGTAGTACTGATAAAAAATATGAACAAAAACATGACTATAAGAACATCTTAAATATAATAATGTGCATTGTGCACATGTGACATGAGAGAGTTTGACACTTAAAAATAAATCTTTGATATTTCTCTCTCCTTTTCACGATTTTATATAATTTTGATAATAATGTTAACTATAATGTCTACATCTAGATATTCTTCTTGACATTGAGGATAAAAATTTATAAAAAACATATAACACCGCTCAAATAAGGAGATATCAATTTTGTGTACTAATATTTGCGTATCTATTTCTCTCATGCCATATGTGCATTGTGCAAATTGTGACATTGGAGATGCTCTATAAGTAAGTTTTATAGTTATTGTGATGTAAAATTTTTATACAATTATACGGAGTATTAACTAAAAGTTATTAGGTCACATTTTTGTGCATTACTTTTTCTTTTGATTAAGTAAAGTTTCTACTAACCCTCTCAGGCTATGTCATAATTATTAATGTAACCTTGCATTTTCAAAAATCAATTAGTTATTCCCTGATATTTGATCATTGATCATATGCTCCCTCACATTATTATTTCTCAAGTTAAATTTAATATAGCTTTTAAATTCAATGAAAGTTGTAAAGTTGTCTATACAATTAATTTTTAATGTATAATACAATTCACTATCATAATTATAAGTGATTGTTGTTGGTCTTTATTTTTCTACTTAGCTACTCGATTGTTGAATAATGATTAATGAGAGTAGTTGAGGGAAAGACTGAAGATTAACGAGAAATATTCATGGTACTAAAAATTCTTATTTTTTCAAGAGATGGTACTAAAAAGTCTAGGCACTTCTTCATCATGAATATTAAAGTGTTATTTGTAATTAATTCGGTTCAATTTATCTCAATGACATTTCTTCCATATGTAGCAAAGAAGAAATACAAAAAAAATGAATTTTATCATTACATGACTTAAATTCCTAAACGATAGGTCTAATATCAATAAGGGAACTAAAATGAGTAAGTTTATGGAGCCCCATATGACTATCTTATGGAATCATATAGGGTATTGTGGCACCATCTTTACCTCTCAATTCTTAAGTGGAGGGGTCCTGTTGGATAATTAATACCCATATTGTATGAAAAGGAGAGTTTGAACAAGAATGTAGGAGAAGGAGATAGGTGTGTATAGAATGAATTGTGAGTTTCTATGAGTTATATGGCTTACAAGCCTTACATAAGGGAGTATATATAGAGAAATCTGGGCTGAGCTTCTAATATTGGCCCGACAGACCCGGTTACATAAATGGACTGATAGTATATAAAGCTAATCTAGAACATCTGAATTATAATAATAATGTACAATAATAGGAATGATATCCGCTAAACGTGTGTGGGCCGCTGTCCAGGCCCAGTAGTCGGCAGACCGGGGAGTCGGAGTCCATACACTCCATCAGGAGTCCCCCACTCTCTGAGTCGAGAGTACTCAAGGCGAAAGGGAGTAGTCCAAACTGTAGTTGCAACGTTCTTCTGTCTTTGGTTTCTTCCTCTCCGGCCGGGGGACCACCACCCTCGTCCATGATGAGGAGGTGCCTCGTTAAAAACCTTTACTAGGAAAAAACACAATGGGAAAAAATCCTAATAAAGGGAAAAAAAGTACACCTAGCGCCCCCAACACGAAACAAGGAAGGTAAGTCCCCTCCGGCATAATCAATCTAACTCAGCTCCTCTTCAACTGACTCAGCTCTCGTTTCTACTCATGCGTGATATTTTCTGCTCATCTAGAAACTATGACCTCTCAGTCCCCCAGTCCCCCAGTCCTTGAGGCGAGGTGAAAATGAATAAAGTCATCTTTGTACCTACACATTTAACATACATATAAGTTTTTTCTTGCGATTTATGTTTCCGATCGGGATTTCGTCACTTGAAGCAAGTGGAGATGTGAATTGTTAATGTAATGATAAAATACTTAGTAGAATGGATGTGTGAGCCATTCATAAGCAACGATGTCACTCAAGGAATGACTAAGACTGGTCTTCGTGCCCAACTTGGTCGGGGCTTTGTCTTCATGCCCGACTTGGTCGGGGCTTTGTGCCTGAGAGTCAGGGCTTTAAATCCTAGTTATGAGTCTCAAGCCACACTATACTAGGCATTTGATCATAAGTGTGTGATAGTGTGATATTCGCCCGACGAAAAAATGATTTAAATAAAAATAAATAATATGAAAATTAAAGAGTACTTATTTTTTTGAAGTTGGGCTGAAAATCGTTGTTGAATTCTGGCCCATCACGTTGGTCACAATCAACTTTGGACCTTTACAATATTGGTCCATCACAATTTACATTGGTAAGAATCAAGCATGGACTTGAAGTAGCCTTGGCCCAAGAATGGAGCCCTATTCGTAGAAGCGTAGGTCTGGTTGAGAGCTTCAAGAGAGGGAGGGTCGGCCATCGCCGGTGCACGACAGGAGCGCTGTGTGGTCGGAGTTGCTGTCCCTAGGACTGAGAATAGTCGGCGTCGCTGGTGGAGAGGAAGGGAGGTCCCTGTCACGGTCATCGTCGGACAGGGAGAGAGGACCCCTCGATGTCCGCTGCTTCCCTATAAAGCTCCGGGGTTCTCCGTCATCGGAGAGGTGAGGAGAGGACCGTTGGAACTACTACTGCC